TTTACCGCCTGTCATACATGTCAAGAGTTTTTTTGGTTATAAATGATGTTAAGTATATCTTATGATATTTTCTAAAAATAATATTTAAATACATGTACATAAAATTAAGCCAAAAATTATATTAACAAAAAATTTTATTCTCCAATTAGGCAAATATAAGTATTGTGATTTCCGCATTTTAAGTATATTAAATATATTTATATCTTAAGTAAAATTAATTTACCGGTCATTAAATACAATAAAAAATAAAAAGTTAACGTTGAATCGCCTTTCATTACGGCAAAAACCAACAAAAATATAGTTTATTAGTTTTCCCTATATATCTAATACGATCCCGGATCCCGGGCGTCCCGGATCCCGGATCCCGGGATTTTCCCCCCATCCGGGAATTGACCGTCTGCTATAAATCACATTCAGAAAAAGCCGGGATCGTATTAGATATATAGAGATACCGGGAATTGACCGTCTGCTATAAATCACATTCAGAAAAAGCCGGGATCGTATTAGATATATAGAGATCCTGGGAATTGACCGTCTGCATAATAACATTCAGAAAAGCCGGGATCGGATAAGATATCAAAAAAGCCGGGATCGTATAAGATATAGAGAGATCCCGTGAATTGACCACTTCCATATCACATTTAGAAAAGCCGGGATCGTATTAGATTATATAGAGATCCCGGCTGTATCGCATTCAGAAAAGCTGGGATCGTATCAGACAATGTGTTCAGTGAAACACGGGATAGTCTAAAAAATAAATATAATAATGGATATATAAAGAAGGTCAATACAAGTTGGCAATCAATTCATTCTATTATTATATACATGCATTTAAAACATATATCCGTTAGGTAGAAGTAGTTAATTTTGAACAAACACATATACAGACATAGAATAAGAAGAAGAACTTTTATTTGCACTAAAGCCCTAAAGAGAGCCATTGACAAAGCATCAATATATATACATACAAAAAAATAGAAAAATGGCGATACGTGACAAGAAGTCGAGATGGCATGTGTATTCACGGGAAATAATTCTTTGATAAATGTAAAAGTAGCTCATACAATTTAAGCTGATTAACTGTGCCATATAAAATTACCAAATCAAAGAGCTTCAGGGAACAATATTAAACGAAGAGTGGTTTCACATGACATCTCGCTTGGGAGAAGCAGAATAATGTAAATATTACAATACGACAAAACAGTCATGTCGAAATTGAAATAATACGCTAATGACCAATGCCTCAGAATGCATTTGATGTGATAATTAGATAGTAGCACATTTGTTTTACGTGCATGACCAAGAGTATATTAATATAAAATTGGATTATTTAAGGTTTTATTTCTAACAACAATGTATTATAAATGTATTTTATGTATTATAAGAGCAAGAGTATATATTTACATAATCACTTATAATTTCATTATAATAAGCAGGTCTGTCATAAAGCCGGGATCGTATTAAAACATATAAGGATCCCGGGAATTGGCCAGTTCAAGAATATAGTTTTTCAAAAAAGGCGGGATCATATTGAACATATAGGGATCCCGGGAATTGACCAGTTTAAAAATATGGTTTTCAGAAAAGCCGGGATCGTATTACAACATATAAGGATCCCGGGAATTGACCAGGTCAAGAATATAGTTTTTCAGAAAAGCCGGGATCGTATTGAAGCATATAGGGATCCCGGGAATTGACCAGTTCAATAATATGGTTTTCAGAAAAGCCGGGGTCGTATTAAAACATATAAGGATCCCGGGAAATGACCAGTTCAAGAATATAGTTTTTCAGAAAAGGCGGGATCATATTGAACATATAAGGATCCCGGGAATTGACCAGTTTAAAAATATGGTTTTCAGAAAAGCCGGGATCGTATTATAATATATAAGGATCCCGGGAATTGACCAGTTCAAAATATAGTTTTTCAGAAAAGCCGGGATCGTATTGAAGCATATAGGGATACCGGGAATTGACCAGTTCAACAATATGGTTTTCAGAAAAGCCGGGATCGTAAGATCAAGGGAATTGACCAGTTCAAGAATACAGTTTTTCAGAAAAGCCGGGATCGTATTAAAACATATAGGTATCCCGGGAATTGACCAGTTCAAGTATATAGTTTTCAGAAAAGCTGGGATCGTATTAGACGTACAGATAAAGAGTAAATTATCATTCGGTCTATTGGTCATAGTCGGAAGTGTCACTAGACATCTTCAATACACCAATGTTTATTAACACCATGGGACGATATGTTGGGCAAATTTATTAAGAAAATGAGTCCACTGCCGTTCTTTTTCATTTCATAATTTCATTGACAAGTAATTTGTTCATAATTTATTCATACTTAAAAAATATATTCATTTAAGACATTAAAGAAAAAGCATTAAATAGGCGAATCGAATAAGATATATATATCCCGGGAAAATGACCATTACCCATCTTGCTTTCAGAAAAGCCGGGGTCTATTACACAGTACAGAGATCACGGGAATTTACCGCCTGTCATACATGTCAAGAGTTTTTTTGGTTATAAATGATGTTAAGTATATCTTATGATATTTTCTAAAAATAATATTTAAATACATGTACATAAAATTAAGCCAAAAATATATATTAACAAAAAATTTTATTCTCCAATTAGGCAAATATAAGTATTGTGATTTCCGCATTTTAAGTATATTAAATATATTTATATCTTAAGTAAAATTAATTTACCGGTCATTAAATACTATAAAAAATAAAAAGTTAACGTTGAATCGCCTTTCATTACGGCAAAAACCAACAAAAATATAGTTTATTAGTTTTCCCTATATATCTAATACGATCCCGGATCCCGGGCGTCCCGGATCCCGGATCCCGGGATTTTCCCCCCACCAAATATCCGCATTTAAGTAGAACGTAGTAATTGTATAGAGTAATTGAGTATAAAAAGGAAGTCTGTTTCACAATTTATAACAAATAGCTTATGGTTGCAACTTTTGTGAGTTTTTTTTTAATTTTTGGCGAAACAGGTACAATATATTATGAGTGAAAAATATATGTCTTACACTCACAATATCAATTTTAAAACATTATTAATAAAACACACACCTACATAAACTTATAAGCAGATCCGAAATAATGTTGACATTCATATATTGTGTGTTTTTCGTTAAAAAAGATCACATTTAAGTATATAGATAATGTACTTTTTTACCATCATATCTATAAATTTACTTATTGCAGTCGAATTTTACAGCATATGATGTCTTTGTTCAAATCCTAGTAGAGCGGATGTACCTATTACCGACAGCTAAGCAACTTCTTACATTGGTCGGAATTATGAGCACCTGCAATCAAAGAAAGACAACCCCTCAAGTGTGTTCGTCGGGTACATGACTTAAGTATATTTGTAAAGTTGTTATCTTCTTAACAAAAAAATCTGTCTAGTGTTCCTATATAATTCCGAGCTGGGAAGACGTAAAAGTGTATTTAATCATATTGATAAACATTTTAACACCACTGATATCTCGTCGATCAAAGAATATGAAAATGACACTTGTAAGTCGTTCAAGTCATATTTTTTCAGTATATATGGACTGGTAATGTCATTTTTTTTACCAATAGACAAGTTAAATTACTTCTAAAGACCGCTTTTGGTTCTTATCCCAAAATTTAAGGACCTTTGGTTTATTTCATATGAGGAAGTTATCCAGTTAGCTTACAGACAGTCGATAGTTCTACTCAGGTGCTCGCATGTGTGCCTGAAGTAATGCACGTTGAAATATCTAGATGATGTCTTCCTCGACCAGTAAAGCAGGAAAGTTGCCATATCACCTGTCACCTATTACAGTATTGGTGCGATGTAAATCCCAACAACAAAAAATGCTTAACAATAATATCAAAGGACATAAGTACATGTAAGTGCCCTGATGAACTCCTGCTTCAACTACATTGTATAACCGTAGTTTTAGGTTACGATGAGTCGCCCAGCAAGAACATTTGCCACTTTATTTATTGTTGCCTAATGTGTTTTGGTTTAAAATGCACAAACCAATGAACATAATCTTTATTCTCTTCAATGGCCTTGTTAAAGAAGTTTTCCTAGCCTTTTTAATCAATGAAGTAACTTTGTTTCTTAAAATTTTGTACTGATCTAAATCTCCTTCTTCATGACACTTAATTATTGCGCAAATTTATCGTTATTTTAACTTCATCTGTAAACCAGTCAGGTTGGTGCCCACGATTTACGCGTTTTTTTCTTTCATTAGCGCATGTTTTGCTAAAACATCGTTTAAAACGGAGTAAAAGAAATTTTAAGAATGATTTGGATTTGTAATTGTTAAAGTAATATCTAGACCAGAGGTATATGTGACATTATGCTCATATTTCCATAGCTCAGTTGAACTGAATTAACTACATATTTCATAAGTTTGTCTCTTATAATGGTGATTGACCAACTGTTGATATTAGAAAATGTTTAGGATATCAATAAAAACAATGCCTCAAATATAAAAAGACGGTCCCATGCACTCTTTTTTATAAATTGAACGTTACACGTAAATTCCGTTGGATCCATGGGCCATGTGAGTATATAAAATTGAAAGGAATTTTGGCAAGATTTCAACTTATTTTACTCTCACATCGTCACCCGCTATATATACAGACCCGCTATATACACTTGTATGAGCATAATGTCAGTTTAAAAGATCACGTTGATTTTTTTCTCACAAAAAGTTGTAGTCATTCTATAGTTTATCATTTTATATAACACATATTTTTTCATTTTTGGTAGTTTTAGTTGAATACAGGGAAATTATCACTGATATAGATAGAGATGGTACGAAAGTGTCTTTCACGTTCTCAGTATTACTTGCATATATATATATGATCAATTATATATGAACTTTTTTTATAATAACTTTCGATGTGCCTGAAAATTTCTGATGAATTCGTGCCAAATCAATCCGTTATCAGCAATGCCATACTTATATTGAAGCATAACAAACCTTATCAGTATATATACATGCAAATTACAAGACCTAAAATTTTAATCTGTATAGGTGATTCACATTGTTCTATTATCTATACATACGGTAAAACAGAGAAACAGACAATGGCGTATGGTGTTATTTTCTTCATATCTGTAATATTCATTCAAAGCTTATTAGCTGATGATAATCTTTCAAAAGAAGAACAATCTAAGTTAAAACGCTACGTGCAGGACCTATTTGATGAGAAGATTGCCGAGGAAATCAAAGACTTGAAAACACGCCTAAATGAAGCTGAAAAACACATTCTGGTAAATATCACCTCTTTTCTACTGGAGACGTACAATTGCACAATTAATTAATATTTTTACCATTATTTTATTACTTTCATGTTTTGAAAACAAATTATTCATATATATATTTCACGAGTGCACTGATTCAAACCCAGACCAAAGCAGTTAATATTTTTGAGGAAAAAAATGGAGTAAAATACTTCATGCTAAGCCCATACTGACTGTTCTGGTTTCGGATGTAAAAATAGGAAACGGATTACCTATATAGTGACCATAACAATAGTACACATTTCCTTTGAAAAAAGCCGATGACTGTGCTATCAATCTTTTATTACACGAGCACAGGCACGAGTATCGGATTTGGGAAGAAAATATGACCACATTGATAAAAAAAAGTGTTCATCTCAAATGTGTCCTAAAAAAAAAAATGCCCCCTTAAAAATATACTAAGTTAAGTAACTTAACTATAACTTAACTTATAGTATATTTTTAAGGGGACAATTTTTGTTTTGGTTTTTGACACATTTAAGATGAACACAGATGTTTTTTTATCAATGTGGTCATATTTTCTTCCCAGGTCCGATACTCGTGCCTGTGTACACGAGGGACAGCCCAGCTATTGTGTAGTAACATGTTTTGATTTATTTGTCTTAGACGTCAACATATGACTCAACATGTTCATTTGATACGAATAAATAAAATCAAAATTCGGTGATAACTGTATACACATTATTATTAGCCATTGAATACGATTTCATCGATTTCATTGTATTTAATTCCAGCACACTGAACAGAAAAATGCAAAATTTGAGGCTCAGTCCGGTTCATCAAATCTTTCTAGAAGATACTTGATGATGGGAGGTAAGCGAAAGTTGAAATAAAATAGTATTGCAAGGAAAGTATTTATGATGATTGACCCAAACGTCTTTTAGTCTGTCAATAAAGCAGGCCCAAGGTTATAAAGAAATTCTCTAAGCCAAACTCATATCTCAGGTATTCGAGTGGTCAGAAACTGCCACAGAATGTACACTGACCAATTGAAAATCCTGAGATCTGAGACAGAACTCAGAAAAAAGTTTTATGACATTGAGGTGCAATAGTGATGGAATAACCAATGAGGCATTGGCCAGAATAACTGATGCACATTACTTATCTGTTTTTACTGTTGTCACTTATAAAATGTAGATTTGAGGACGACCATGTACCGGTATAATTAAGTATTCATCTCAGTGTATTTAAATATTCCATTTTATCATAATAATTGTCTATATACAATCAAGTGCACTTCATATTTTAGAATTCACAATTGCTCTGTTTATGATAAATATTAGATCTAGTATGCTTATCTAATTGGTTAAGAACTTTTTTTATCATTTAAAATTTTTTATCCTTTTGCTGGATCCCCCTTTTGGATTCCCTGCAGTTCGGTCCGATTTGCTAAAAACCTTTGGGACCAAAAAACATCATCATGTTGACGAATTTTCCACAAAACGGCGGGGGATATCACAATAATACAGGCGAATTTAAGGCCCCCGTGAAAGGCTTGTACGACTTTCAGCTGTCCGCAATGTCGACAACCGGAAGAAATCTTGCTCTGGCGTTCGTCAGGGATGGGAGAATGATTAGTCGTATCTACCCTGATGCAGCAGGCTCATCTTCATATGAAACATCTGGCAATCAGTGGGTCGTTGAACTGAACCAGGGATCTGTGGTTTGGATTGAAACATACCCCAGTGGTGGCATTCATGGAGATTGCTTCACTGTTTTTTCTGGCTTTTTGATATCAGAGATGGCATGATTTATACAAAAAAAATGTATTAGAACATGCTATGTAGAACTTTAAAGTCTTAGTATTTTCTTTCTGTAAAGTACATTTTGAAGGAAAAGCGTTGCAACGGTTTTAAATTTTGGGTCAATTTTCACAATTAGAAAAAAATGTTCTGGTGAAATGGACCGAGTGATGATCTGAAAGTTTGCACATAACTTATTGGTGTAGGCGTAAATCAAATGAAACATTTATCTCCAGTCGCGTCGATCATGTCAAAAACCTCAATGGAGTCAGAGTCCCTTTAACATTTTTAAACAAACCCTTTTCTTTTTACGATATCAATACATATAAACAATCGTTAACTTAAATTAGTGCAGTAACGAGTTAACTCCTATCAAATTTAACAGGAGTTCACCGTTACTGCACTCATGATTTTGCATTCATAAGTTTGAATGAATCAAAGTACGGAAAGCAAAACTTTGATGAATAATGGTTAAAGCCGGAAGACGGAAGAAAAAAAACTCACCGGGAAAAAACTATCCCGGACAATTTGTTCACGTGCTTAATATCACAAGGTTATGGTTAAATTCACTGTTTACATCTGTTCATTAATTGGCGGATGTTAATTCGATTTTAATAGCCCGCTGTGTTTAATGTCTAAATATAGTAAATCCAGCTGCGTTAAGGTTTTAGTAGCTGGTTAAGAAGGAGAGTTGCTATATGTGAGGTGGTGGTCCAGCTAAATTAGTACGTTAAATCTATACTTAAAACAAATGATACTAATGTAATGAATGCGTATGAACAATAATATTGTTTGTAGAATAAAATAAGATAAAAAATAATTCTGGCTTCAAAACAAAATGTCGGAAGTCTATATGCTGAAATTTAATGACTGTCCAACTTATTCATCATTCAAAACCGTGTTTTAGTTTTAACAATAGTTTAATTTTGCTTGAGACATCCCGTAGTTAAAAAAAAACATGGGAACTTAAGAAAAATAAAAATGAAATAATATAATAAAAGGAGAATGAGACAAGAAAATGGAACTGTTTGCATGAAAATAGTTCTGACCCAATGATTATGACTGAAAGCGGTCAGAATGTAGGTTATTTCAGGTTGTGTCTGTGACGTCTTTTTTTTAAATGTTGATAAATAAAAACACAATGTAAAAATTGATTTAGTTTTATTTCTGTTTAAATAATCAAATTGCTACTTTGCAACAAAACGATCTTCTTAGGCTCGATCTAGAATTTGTATTTCTTTGTCAATTGGGTTTTCTGAAATGAAAGAATACATTATTAATCCATATAACTATAAATTTGTGAAATTACCTATCACTTTAAATTTATGACATTCACATATAACTATCGTATAAATTTGTGAAATTTACTTATACATTGTAACTATAAATATTTGAAATTTACCTATACATGTATATCTATCGTATAAATTTTAAATTTACATAAAACTATCGTATAACTTTATGTAATTTACCTATAACTGTACACAATTACACACGTATTTGCATTAAGAAAATAACATTTAACGGTTTCAAGTAAATAACTTAAAACTTATATATGACAAACAAAAGTGAATTTTAGATTCAAACAGAACTTAGCGACATATCACAATCCGATGTAAAAAAAGTTCGACCGGTAGTCATCGTATGAACAATTAAAATATAACATCTCATTTTCACCATGACATCAAGTTTATGCAAAAAGTAAGAAAACAATGTCATTAAATTTAATTTGTGTGTGCAATTTAACGACATTTTATTTTGACATCAATGGATAAAAATTAATGGTGATATTTTAATTTTCATTTCTTGTTTTGGCATCTATTCTTAGTATTTGTAAATACATATAATACATAATTATAAATGAAAATAGATTATATTTTGTATTCGAGGGACATCATTGAAAAAAAATTAAAAAAATTTAAAATAAAATTTATTTTAAGTCTTCATAAAACCCCCCGGGGATCAAAGAAAAAATTTTTAAAAAAAAAAAAAACGTTAAGATGGAATAGTCTACAATGGCACATTTTCCATAAGTATTTAAAATACTTGTATTCATAAAAACAATAGAAATATAACATTTGGATATTAAATACTGCTTGAAAGAAGAGAAAAAATGTTGGCAAAATTGATTGAGTGATTTAGAATGATCATTTATCTGATGAATAAGAATATGTTGTTTTAGAACACTTTATTGTTTGCTATATTTTAATATATGTAATATTGGATCATGTACATGTGTATCTCACACTTACTAACAACTTCCATGAATAACTCTTTCGTAGTTTGTTGTTATGTCTAATATTAAATACTATCGTACGTAATTATACATTACATTATACAGACATTCCAGTATAGAACATTTCACTTTAAAATGTTAAACGATTGACCCCAATTGGATTTAAAGGCGTTTGTAGCTTCACACCCAGATTGTCTTTGATTTACCCAACCTCCAATGTTAAACCATTCTTGACTACCAATGGACCCTGAACGGTTTAGAAAACGATTTCATTATTAAGAAGTAAGAATTCATCTTGAATGACACATAAACTTTGTCACAAGCTTACCTACGGATAGCATGACATCATGCCAGCACGTGACGCTCCTCTCAGATGCTCGTATGATGTCAAGATTAATTCACTAAATAGAATTTTCAAAATTATAAGTTTTGAAGTTCTGCGCCCTTCACCTTTTCTAATGAATAATTTTGACTACTATGACAAACATTAACTATAATTTCAGTCTGGTAGAGAAATCATTTAGTTCAAAAACAATTTGAGTGCTAATGAACAGACCTGATGTTAAGATCAAAAGTTCTTCATTCTCTTATAGATTAAGAAATTAGTCTATAAGAGCATGAAGAACTTTTGATCTGTTAATAACCTTACACTAAAATGGCCGGACAATGCCGTTACTAACCGTCAAGTTCCGGCGATGTCCAACTCCTGTAGCTTTCCCAAGAAGGTTGTCTGTCATTTATAGGCTCAATTTTGCTTGGTTCTCGGAAACGCTTTAATTATAAAAGGTACAACTTTGTAAAAAGTTGATTCGAAACTCATTTTCTCTTATATTTCTTAATCTATATATTTTGATACTTGTGTACAAAAAAGCTACATGCATGTATTCAAAGTTGAGTTTTGTGTTGAAAATTGTAATCCTTTGACGAAACTTATTAATAAAGAATACAATATTATTGGGTTGCCTCTATTTCTATTTGATGTTCAAATGAGCCGCGTCAGGACAAACCAACATAGTGCGTTTGCGACCAGCATCCGCGCAGTCTGATCAGGATCCATGCTGTTCGCTGTCAGTTTCTCCACCTGTTATTGTAACTTCCAGGGTTTGTTCAAATCACATGACTTGTTTTTTAACTATTCGGGGATTCTGTTGGCGTCTAGATTTCGTTCAACATATATAGTAATTTTCAAGCTTCAAACCCAAAATATATAGAATTTACACAGTAATTCATGCTGGGACTTTAAGAAATGTCATTTTAGGGTGATTTGAGTACAGAAGATAATTTTTATATTTTTGTCATTATTTTGCCTGAGTATCCCTTTAAATCAATTGTAAAACAATGTAAAAACCATATCTATAAAAAAACTAATAAGATTTGTATAAATCACTATATAAAAAGGGACAAAAACATTTTTTTTGTGCATGAGAGCGGTGTGTGAGTGCCTGTGTATGTATGTGTATATGCGTGTGTGCGTGTGTGCATATGTGTGAGTATGTGTATGTGTATTTGTGTATGTATCTGTGTGAGATTGTTTTGTGTGTATGTTTTACATTACTGTTAGAATTGAATAATTATTATAATGGAATATATTATGTTGAATACATGTAACAACAGTATGTTAACTGGAATGTTTTTTTTGTAATTCATATATGAAAGAACATAATAAATGAAAAAAAAAAGTTTCTCCACTTGTAATAGAGTTGGTAAGCGAACAGCATGGATCCTGATCAGACAGCGTGGATGCGCAGGCTGGTCTAGATCCATGCTGGTCGCAAACCCCACTATGTTGGTTTTGTCGTGACGCGGCTCAAATGATCTTTATGGGGTTGAAACTG